CTTTTTTTTCTTGTCCTTCTTCTTGTTCTTCTTGTTGTCATCATCATTGTCAATATTGTATGGACATTGAGCAACAAGATGATCTCTGCTTCCACACTTGAAGCATCTTCTTGACTCTTCCTTATTTTTGGATGAAGACTTCTTTTTTCTAGCACGATAGCCCTTCTTCACCATGAACTTGCCAAATCTCTTGACAAAAAGAGCCATCTTCTCATCATCATCATCATCCCATGAATCATCCTCTTCACTTGATGTTTCTTGCTTGGCTTTGCCCTTGGATGATGTGGCCTTGAATGCCACGCTCTTCTTCTTGTCATCCTTCTTGTCATCTTTCTTCTCCCTCTTTTCTTCCTTCTCATCATCATCTCTATATGTATCATCGGTCATTATGTCTCCCAACACTTGGTTTGGTGTTATGGTGTCCAAACCACTCCTCACTAGAATAGTGACCAATGTACCAAATCTTGAAGGCAAACATCTCAAGAACTTGTGGAAGAAGTCCTTGTCCTTTACTTCTTCTTCAAGTGCTTTGAGATCATTGACAAGCACTTGAAGCCTATGGAACATCTCCGACACACTCTCATCCTCCTTCATCTTGAAGCTTGCAAACTTTTCTTTGAGAATGTATGCCTTTGCACCCTTCACGGCTTGAGTACCCTCAAATGATTCTTCCAACTTCTTCCAAGCCTCATGAGCCATCTCAATATTCTTGATTTCCTCAAATGTTCTCTCATCAATTGCATCATGAATAGCACTTAGAGCAATGTCATTGTTTTGGAGAAGCACTTCTTCGGCTGCGGTGGGATTCTCCGGATCCTCAATCTTAATTTTGGTTTCTACCACCTTCCACACTCTTCTATTGATTGACTTGATATGTGTGGTCATCTTTGATTTCCAATATGGATAATTTGTGCCATCAAATTGGGGTGGCTTCTTTGTGTTATTGATTTGAGCCATTTTTACACCAAAGGTTGTTAAGCCTCAAATCACGGTGATCTCGGCTCCGATACCACTTGAAAGGTCCTAATGGCGCCGTATAGATGAATGAACCAATCAATCACAAGGATGAATAACAATGAAGACCAATCACCTCAGAATCAATGATGAACACAATAATTTTTACCGAGGTTCACTTGCTTGCCGGCAAGCTAGTCCTCGTTGTGGCGATACACTCACTTGGAGGTTCACGCACTAATTGGCTTCACATGCCAAACCCTCAATAGGGTGCCGCACAACTAACACAAGATGAGGATCACACAAGCCATGAGCAATCTACTAGAGTACCTTTTGGCGCTCCACCGGGGAAAGGTCAAGAACCCCTCACAATCACCACGATCGGAGCCGGAGACAATCACCACCCTCCGCTCAACGATCCTCGCTGCTCCAAGCCGTCTAGGTGGCGACAACCACCAAGAATAACAAGCGAATCCCGTAGCGAAACACAAACACCAAGTGCCTCTAGATGCAAATACTCAAGCAATGCACTTGGATTCTCTCCCAATCTCACAAAGATGATGAATCAATGATGGAGATGAGTGGGAGAGCTTTGGCTAAGCTCACAAGGTTGTTATATCAATGAAAATGGCCAAGCAAGTGAGCTTGAGCTGGCCATGGGGCTTAAATAGAAGTCCCCACAAAATAGAGCCGTTGTACCCCTTCACTGGGCACAGCGCGGGGTGACCGGACGCTCCGGTCCGATCGACCGGACGCTGGCCCTCAACGTCCGGTCACGTGATACACGCCACGTGTCCCCTGCTTCAAATACTGTTTGTCAGATTTCAACGGTCATCTGTTGATCGGACACTGCACACAAACTGACCGGACTCTGAGCCACCAGCGTCCGGTCGTTTCCAGTAAGGTTCCAAACACGAATTTTCATGACCGGACGCGTCCGGTCATGCCTGACTAGACTCACCCAGCGTCCGGTCCCTCAACGTCTCCTCTGTGTGCCTCACGTCAGCGTATGTCAGCACTGACCGAACGCACCTTGCCAGCATTCGGTCGCAGAGCGACCCAGCGTCCGGTCGTTTGAACGACGCCAGCATCTTCGCTGTTACACCTGACCGGACGCGCCGGTCCAACCGAGGCCAGCGTCCGGTCACACCCAGTGACCTCTGTCTTTTCTGTCTAGGGCGCCGGTGGAGTTTCTTACCCTTGCACCTAAACTTCATCACCCTTGATCAAATGTGCCAACCACTAAGTGTATCACTTTGTGCACATGTGTTAGCATATTTTCACAAACATTTTCAAGGGTGTTAGCATTCCACTAGATCCTAAATGCATATGCAATGAGTTAGAGCATCTAGTGACACTTTGATAACCGCATTCGAAATGAGTTTCACCCCTCTTAATAGTACGGCTATCGATCCTAAATGTGATCACACCCACTAAGTGTCTTGATCACTAAAATAAAATGGCTCCTACAAAATATACCTTTGCCTTGAGCTTTTTATTTTTCTCTTTCTTCTTTCCAAGTTGAAGCACTTGATCATCATCATGCCATCATCATCATTATGCTATGATCTTCATTTGCTTCACCACTTGAGTGTGCTACCTATCTCATAATCACTTGATAAACTAGGTTAGCACTTAGGGTTTCATCAATTCACCAAAACCAAACTAGAGTTTTCACCAGCGAACGATCACCTCCATTCAATTCATCGTATCCACGGCTTCACTATCATGTCCTCTCGCTGCCCGATCCCACCTAGCTTTGAAGCGAGCACGGCCAAGCTCCAATTTGGAGTTTTTTCCGCCGCTGTGCCGATAAGGCCGCGTCCGGCCGCGGATATGGGTAGCTCTCCAACCGTCTCTCCTGAGCCAATTCACCTGCACCACTAGCATCGCCTTGACTCCCTCTTCACCCTACATGCCTTAGCCGAACTGCTACCGCCTCCCCTTCGTCGCTGACACGACCGTGGCGCTACGGTGCACCGCCGCACGGCTCGGCCGCACGTGGCCAGCCCTCCTCCGTCATCCTCCGCCCCAACTGTCACCTCAGCCTGGTCCAGGGTAGCCTCCTGATGCTCACGCGCTAACCAATTAGGCATGTAGCTACCCTAGCCCACCGGAATAGTGGCGTCGCCGTCGCGGATGACCGCGCACCGCTGTAGCCTTCCCCATCCAATTGTGTCACCCTGCTCCGCCGCTTCGCGTAGCCACTCGGGTCAGAGATGGTGATCGACCCGTTAGGTGGACCCGCGCAGGTCCTAGGTGGCCGACGTAGGCGCTCAGTGCCGCCGCTCGCCGCGCCGCCGTGCACTGAGTTGCCGGGAGTGCGCGCGGGTGAATTAGGGAAAATCAGGGGGTTAAGTGAGAAGGTTTAAGAGACGGAGAATAGTGTTAGTACTTAGTTGTAACTCAGGAGAAGTGCAAGGTCTATTTTGCAAAAACATCAGCGCACGGGGGATTTCCCCGCCCCGGGCCATCTCCGCGTGGACCGGCGTCGCGTGGGCCGCACCACGGGACGCCGCGCGCTCGCACGTGCATGCGCTGCGTCGCGTGGGCCGCGCGAGAGAATTCATTTTTCTTTTTTCGGCTCCGACTCCGCCAGTCGGAGAAGAGCTGTAAGCAGGAGTTCGGTGCATCCCCGGTCGGAGAGGCGGGCCGGAGTCGGAAGCAAGCGTTGTTCCTCCTTGGCCAGGCCTTCCGGTCGGAGAGGCGGGCTGGAGTTGGAAGCGAGCGTTGTTCCTCCTTAGCGAGGCCTTCCGGTCGGAGATTGGATCGTTCTTTTGGCCTGTCGTTAGGTTTCTTGGGCCGGCCCAGGAGTTGCGCGTCGTTCGCAACGTCGTCTGCTGGGCCGAGCCTTTGCTGGGAAGCCGGTCCATGAGGGACCCCGGGTTTATGAACCCGACAACTAGCATCTTACTTCCTTTGATAAGCTTAGTTTAAGCTGCTTTAAACTTTGGTGTTATGAAACCAAATAGAAGCTCTAGCCTGTCTGAACCGGTCTTGCTAATCAATGTTATCAAGTTGTCCGACTAATCGTGATTCGCGATTAGTCAGGCTGACCAGTGACATGATGATCAGCTATGCACTACGATTAGTCATGATCAGTCGCGATTAATCGCAATTAGTCACCATTAGCTGTGCTGATCGGCACCATGGTGACTAGGATCGATTAGACGATTTGATAACATTGTTGCTAATAAAGGGAGTACTTTCAGGATGAACAAAATGATTAATTGTGGTTTTTTACTTTACATGTTGGCAGATACACCTTATTAGTCTTTTTTTTCTGGGGTTTGGTTTTGTCACTGGCTCACTGCTTCTGGCTTTTGACCGAAACACTTGTAAAATTTCAAGTTATGAGGCTACCTTTGAAAATTGGAAGTCTGGGATATAAATTAGGTGCAATTAGTAGCCTCTTGGTATACATTTTGTTAAAAAGAAGGTCCAGGCATGTGAACCAGCTGAACTGAAGCTAGAGTCCCCCAAACCAGCTGAACTTAAACTAGAGTCCCAAAAACCAGTGTACATTTATATACAGAGGGATTACTTGCTTCAAGTTGAACTCTTGTGTTTTTAATTTGTTGTTTTATCACAGTTGAATTCTGCACAAATTGTCATTGATGCCAAAGCTTCATTCCAAGATTCTTTCTAATATACTTATCCTGACAAATTGTTACAGGCTGTTGATTTCAAAAGCCATATACTTGAGTTCTCTGGATTTCTGTGGCATGAGAGTGATGTAAGCATCATTGTTTTTTCCCCAAAATTTCAAAGATTGGTAGTTGCACTATTTATCTGAAATTATTATTTTAACTTTGGCGGCTCTCTTTCTTGTAGGAAAAGCATAGAGCCAAGGCCAAGGAGAAGCTTGACAAATGTTCGATAGAAACATTATTGGATCTCTGCAATCTACTTGTTATTCCAGTTTCAAGGGTAAATAGTAGAAAGGTCGATGAATATCTTTTATCTTGCTTACTTAACTTGAATCCGAGTTCAGCATGAATGCATGATGCAATTTCGGTTTTTTCTGTAACTGAGTTACCCATGCCATGCAGGATGACATTGTGGCGAAGCTGCTGGATTTCATTGCTGAGCCCCGCTCTAAGGATGATTCTACACTTTCTGATGATAAGGTAAAATCTGTGGCTACAATGGGTATGCACTTTCTGAGATTTATTTATGGATTACAACAACAATGAACAGAAAGTTTGCTTCAGTGTTTCTTCCTTTACTTATCTCCATGTTTTACACTTCTGTACTGTGCAGGATCAAATTCTAGGAAGCGCAAACGAGAGGTGGGGAGTGCAACTAAGAATCCAGAAGGCACACACAAGAGATCTAGGAAGGTAACATCTTGTATTGGTCTGACACAATCTATCTAATCACAGTTCTTTGCCATTAACTTGAAACAAGCTTTACATATTTACCTTCTGTTAATTTCTAGTTTGTTTCATATTGCATGGAAGTTTCACATGTGCAATTGCTGCTGTACAGCCAGATACTTGATAATTCCAAATTGTAATGATCAGTGATATCTGTTACCGTAGCTATCACCCTTTTTGTGACTGGCTCTTATTTGCTTTTTTTGTGTGACACCAGAAACTTGATGATGAACGTACTTCACGTAAAAGGTGGCAGAAATATTCCAGAGTCAGAATCTGATGAAGATGCTGAAGAAGGGCATGAAGAGGATGATCACATGAAGTCTGATAGTGAGGAAAACAAAGATGATGGTGAAGAAATTGATAGTGAGCAGGAAGATAGATATGGCCGGTGAAAAGTAAAGGCATGTAAGAAGTCTGTAGATGGAAAAGGATCTACAGCTAAAACTAAAAGGAAGGCAATCACAGGGATTTCTCCAAAGACAGCTCCTGTATCTACATTGAGCAAGTGTTCGAGCAGAGTACCATCATCGCCGAAAAGTTTTAAGGATAAGCAGAGGTCTGCTGTGGATTTAAACGTTGTCTCTAGGAAGAGTAAACCCATTACGCCAAAGCACACAACAAATTCTGAAAAAGAGACCAATGAAAGAAGATCATCAGGTACGATTATCAATTCACTGATTAGTCCACTGTATGGTACTCCCTCCATTCCAAATTATAAGACGTTTTGGATTTTCTAGATACATTGTCTTTACTATGCATCTAGACGTAGTGTATATCTAAGTGCATAGCGAAAGCTATGAATCTCAAAAAGTCAAAGCGTCTTATAATTTGGAACAGATGGAGTAATATCCATGATACGATACCATAAATCAGGCTTTGTTGTTGTTGTTGTTGCTATTCTGAACTTTCAAATTGTTGTGTTATGATGAATTATGATCAAGAGCTATACTTTTTTCTGTATCTGTGAGAATACACAGTAGATTAATTGATATTTTTTTGTCAGAAAGATGGTGAGACTAGTGAATTTTTATAATATAGTTTAAAATGACCTTCTGGTTTTATTCTTACATTTATAACCTGCAGTTACTTTGGACATTCATCTTTTGTGCTGTTTGTATCCTTTGTTGATTTGACATTCAAAGATTCATAAGTGGGACGGATATTTTGCTATATCAATATCATTCCCTGTTGTTACGTGGCATGTGTAACATGGAAATTGCGTTTTGTGAATACTTTATGCTGGTATCATGTCATTCATTCAGATACATAAAACATGTTTGGAATAACATAAAAAACATAGGTTTCAGATTGTGGAATGACCCCCCTAATGGTGTGCTCTACTGCTCTATCTAGGCAAAGGGTCAACAAGTAAAGGGAAATCAGCAGAAGCAGAACAAGCTCTTCCCAGCAAGGATGAACTGCAAAAGACTATTGTTCAACTTCTTAAGAAGGTCGACTTTGACAATGTGAGTTACAGTGTTTAGGCAGAGTAGCAATGTGTATTCAGCCATAATAGTACAATGGACTACATCTATTATAAATGAAATCAACCTTGGTTCATAAGAGAATTAGGCTACTGTGAGTTGACTTAACTCTGAGTTGCATGTATAAAATGAATTTTCAGCCTGTGTTAGACTGGAACTTTGATTTACCCTCTTTTCTGGTTTGTCTTCTTAGATCAGCATTTGGAATGCAGATTTACATTGCTTTTGCTGACAGATTCCTCTTACTAGTTCCACTTTTGTTGCTTGTTGCCATAACCTTGTACTATCTTTCTTATATATAGTGCGATACACATAGATCTAACTGTTTCATTGATTCATTTTCCAGGTTACATTCAGTGACATTCTTAAGATGCTCGGTACGCCTCTTAATCATGCATCATGATTTGAATTAATTTGCCAATGCTTAATGTTATAAATTCTAGCAAATAAAATGTTACAGATAAACGCTACAAGATGGACGTATCTTCAATGAAAGATACTGCGAAGTCCATAATTCTTGATGAGCTGGTCAAGTTAGCGGAGGCAGACGAGGACTAATTTGGAAATGAAGATGCTGGCAAGATGAAGTCAAAGCATCAAAAAGCATAGGATAGGATGAGGGCTGAGAAGCTCGAGCCCACTAGCTATAATGACTGTAACCATGTTAACTGTTGTTAACCGATGCCTTTGCTCAGTAACTTGCCCTGTTTTGGGAATGTAGGATGCTTTGCACCTCTGATCTAACCAATGGAGGTACTTAAACTGCTGTGGTTGCCTGCGATGATGAGCTAGCTCCTGGTTCTTCTCTGAATGGATCCTGTTGGTTACTGTTCTTTGTTCCTTGCATGCTCTTCGCAACTTTTTGAGTGAGGGTCATCTATGTGGTTAATGGAGGCCCATATCTCAGCCTGATCTGCTTTGCTCGTTGCACTTGTACTGCGAACTTCAATCCAGCAGTTATATGTTTGCGTAGCGTGCAAATTTGAAGTTTATCACCGATGCTGACCCGGTCTTTGCAATGTGTGCTTCTGATTTGTGCAGTCAAAAAAAAAGTAGACACCACAAATAACAACACACCGGCGCGGTAGAGTTGCTGAGGGGGTAATTCTAGGGTTACATTTGGATAGTGTTTTTATTCTATTTTTTCAAAAAGGCAGAGAGCCCAAGTGCACAGTTGAACTAAATCGTTGCCTCGGTGCCTAAATATTTGTCGTTCTCACTTCCCAAGAAATAACTTTGACTAAATATATATTAAAAAATATTAATATTTATGATACATAATTAGTATTATTGGAAAGATCTTTAAATATAGTTTTTCAATAAATTTATTTAGAGGTAAAAATGTTCTACAAATCAAGTCAAACTTATGGCACTTACACCGACAGTTATTGAGGGATGTAGGGAGTAGTTGCCACATCTATCTGCAACAATTCAGACCTCGTACAAGAGCAAGTAAGCCTCCTCCTTCACCCATTTAATCCTTCTGCTTCTTATGAATTCGTCGAACTTCTTGTTCAGCTCACTGATCTCTAACCTGTCCAGCCCTTGACCTTGAGCTGTTTCGCAGGTCGGTTCGTCGACATCAACAGAGGTGATGCTGCTGTCTTCTTCTTCATCAAGCCTGACCAGCTCCAGCTTCGATAGCTGCTCCTCCTCATCTGGTAACGTGTTGGCAGACATTGTTGACATGTCTTCTTCACCTTCTTGTTCATCATGGTCAAGATTTGCTGAACATGGGACACACGGCTGCACGGCACATTGCTCCACCTGCACCTGCACCTGTACCTGATGATGCCGTGCTTGTTTCTCCAGGACTCCATCAGGTTCGCCCGAAGAAGCAGCATGGCCTTCCGATGCGGTGGCAGCGAAGCGGCAGCGGTAGTCGGCGGCTAGGAGGATGAAGATGACGTTGGAGAGCACGAACAGCGCCGTCTTGCTAGTGATAATGCTGCTGCCAGCAGCGAGGAGCCGAGCAGGTAGAGTGGACGAGTTTTGCGAGCTGGCCATGGAGAAGGACGACAAGAACAAGGCGAGGAAAGCAACGGCCGCGAGTGCTAAGGTGACCCGTGAGGCGTCGGCGCTCCTCGTGAACCTCGCAACGCCTCGATTGTAGTGCTTCGCGCTGCTTTGGTGTTCTGCTAGTAGCTGCAGTATGTGATCCATGCTCTCTATTTGTTTCAGGCGTTGGGTTACAGGTCAGAGGGGGAAGAAGGTTGTGACACGATGATAGAGACGGGTTGATCCTGGGTTGCCGAGACTGAAGCTCGTTGAGGTATTTATACTTGCTTAACAGTATAACAGCCCTACAAACAATGACACATTCATATGGCTGGTTGGTTTCTTGGGTGCACATGCAAACAGAGAGAAGTTTCAGATGCATGCCGGTGTAGTTTCCCCCATGCCCAGCTACAGAAAGCAGCACATTAGTATAATTTAAGCAGCGTTGACACCTAATGAAGTGCCCTGGCAGCTGCCTGGTGACGAGGAAGGAAGTATCATGGAACTTGCTACTGCATGCTTAGGGCGCGTTTAGATCCCAATTTTTTGGATTTTGGGTGCTGTAGCACTTTCGTTTGTATTTGGTAATTAGTATCTAATTATGGATTAATTATGTTCGAAAGTTTCGTCTCGCGATTTCTCACCCAACTGTGCAATTAGTTTTTTTTTCGTCTACATTTAGTACTACATGCATATGCCGCAAGATTCGATGTGACACTTACTGCGCAAAAATTTTTGATTTTTGGGGAGAACTAAACGGGGCCTTAGTCATCAGGCAGCAACCAATATCTGACAGACCGTGCGGTGCAGACAGGCAGATCTCTGAAAACTTAATTTGACAGCTGACAGCGACCTGGTGAAATTCACTGAGCCCGTTGGTTTAACTGAACGCCCACGGAGATCAGAATCGATGCTTTCCTAGCAATTAGCACCGCCGTAGAACGTAGAGTTTCAGCGGCAGCGGTGTTCTTGCGTTCAGATCTGAAGCCTGCACTTCAGCGCAGTGAAACCACGACCTGCTGAAGAAGAAGAGCCATGACGAGATGAAACTGAAAGTGCAGGGAACATCCAGACCAAGTAGACGCAGAACAAAGCAAACGTGTTACAGAAGACAAGTGTTTGATTCTCCCTGTTGAGAGTTGAGACCACAGCATCGTCGTCATCGAGCAGCCGCTTGTAAAAGACTGAAACGAGCACATGAGCTGCTGCAGCATCGGTCACAGTAGGAGTACTATCTTAGTGGCTGGGATCATCAGATCACACAAGCTGTCGCCTAACAGCTCGCTACGGTACAATGCACTTGATGGGGGGTTTCAGGTTTTGCTGGATCAGTGCAATGGCCAATGCGGCAGTGGTGGACACGTGGCGACGGGAGATCTGCCTCGGCCACGTGACTCGAAACAGGCAGCATCATCTCCGGTGACGGCAGTGGTGGACACTTTTTGGCTGTTATATGGAGTATACAAGTATGTCGGTGTCTGATCATGGCGCGCGGATGCGTGAGACGGCAATAGAACAGCCGATGATCCTGTCCTGTCCAAATTCATGCCGGACATAACAACTTTATTCAATTCAGACATGACTAGGCCTGTTAGGCATGAAATTTTGGAGCTCAGCTCTGTATGATTTTGTCAAGACTTCCCATCCAATTTCTGATCCATGGCCCAAACTCAGACCACCCTGCTAGGTGCACCATGCACTCACTTGAAGCCCTGCATACAAGGCTACAACATTGGGCTGGGGCAAACCATCATCCACTGCATAAGAACTGATCATGTGTGTGTTTCAGTGTTTGGGCCTCTTTGAGTTTGAGGTCTAACAGAGAGCAGCTCCACAAACTATCTTTAAGTTCTGACGTGGTTCCAAGGGATCTCTCAAAAATACCCGTCAATCTGCCTTTTCCTTCTGAGAGAATGCAAATTCAAATATGATAGGATACTCAAACAAATATGCAGGATTCTTTTTAAAATTTGTTGGCATGCAAGAATATGGCAAGGAATGCTGACCACTACGCTCCATGATTGTTGTGAGCACGATGGGATGCCTAGTGTGTCATGTCAAATCACGCTGGAATGTCGATGGATGAACGGATGCAGGCGTTGTATTCCTGGGGCCGTTTGGATCAAGGGAGTTTTATAGGAAATTCATAAGAATTCATTCCTTTGGAAAGGTTTCTAAAATACCGTTTGGAATGGAGGAAGCTTCAACAGTGAAACAGAGGAAAGGTTCCTACGCCCGTTCTTTTCACGGGAACCAAAAACCAAAACATCCAGGCATCCAGTTGAAACCAAAGTTTCGCGGAAGACCGAGGCAGTGAGGGAAAAGAAACGCCACTTTGCTACTCACGATCAGAGGATCAGCCTAATAATTAAGGGCCTATGGTTGGTAGGAGATGTTTTTTTGGGCCCATTTCCCATGAAGGATAGCATAGGAATTTCCGCAAAAAAAAAGGACAGCATAGAAAAAAAATGACCTGTAAACACTTGACACCAGCACGACTGGGATTTCTACGTTCTAATTCCTACGTTCGAAACACCAATTCCCGTGTTCTCTTTATATTTTTTTCTTTTCCTCCATTTTGCCAATACATCCATACACTATTTTGTATTTTTTTCCCATTCTTTGTTTTCAATTCCTCTATTTCAAACAGGCTCTGAATAAGTCCAGATTCTACATGAGTTGGTACAAGACAGAGTTTCATGAACAACACAGGCCACTAGCGAAACATTGACAATTCGATATTTTTCAACAACTTGAATCAAATGGTCAGGATTTGAAGTAGCAGTAGATGCTCAACAATCAATGCTAATTTCGGTAACAAAGTAACTCAGGTGTATCAACAGTGAACAACCACGACCCATAGTTAGGTAATTACGTAGAAAAAAAACTTCATTTTACGTGATGTGATTTTTCTCCTTGAACTCTAAAATCAGACATCTTATTCCCAACTCTTAAAGTCGTTGATATTACCTTTCTGCCCCGGTTAGAAGTGTTTTTAAGACAGTTTCATTTTTTTAGTTTAAAATTTTTGGTAAATACCTCACAAGTTTTTAAACCACAAAAACGTTCTATGAGATTCTAAGAATTCTAAGAAAAGCCTAAAGCCAGGTTGGGGCAGGACAAAATAACAAAAAATTTAGAGCTCATGAAAGTATCTCTAAAACCTTCCAAAATTTAGATTTAGCTCTGGAAAATAGAAATACATATAGAAAATCTAGAAAATTCCCAAACCATTTTAATCATAATGAAAACACGAGATGCAATCATCATGAACATATTCAACATTAAACGTATGTTGTATTTTTCATGGTTTCATCTCATATTTTTGTTATACTAGGTGAGTGCCCGTGCGTTGCAACGGAAACAACAAATAATCTAATGTAATAAGAAAAACATGAAAAATATGATATCAACGTGCAGTTTTTCGAAATGTAACTTTTACACGTGCCCAACTAGGGAAAAAGATAGCTATTTTCGCACAATTCATTCCCCTGGTAATTGTGCAGCTTCTTAAATTTTCATGAAAAAATGCATAATTGTCTCTCAATATGGGAAAGATTGACCAGAAGAAGAAAATATTGACAATTCTTATAGCTTGGACTAAAAAAAGTGCAATTATCCTAGAGGCATTGTCTAATCAACTCCTCTCATAATTCATCTTATGCTTGATCCATAACAATCAAAGGTTCAGGTCATAGAAAATTTCATGATGTAATTGACAGTGTTTAGCTAGGAATAGATCAATAACGTCCAACAATACTCGCATTAACGGATTGGTACGGTTGCAGTTCAAAGTGCTCCAACCTTTGCTCCATGTAATCGATGGCAAATAGCCTATCATGAAGTGCCTGAATGGCCTCATGCAGTGTGAACCATGCATCCCACCGCAGTGCCCTCTCGCATATCTCAGCCATGGCACGCACAGCGAGCAGTGGCCGCAGTGGCTCACTGCCCTCACCCTCATGTACCCTTTTGTGTCCTCTCCTCCAGCGACCAGTGGAGATAACAAGAAGTTGTGGAGGCATGAGCAGCACCACAACAGGAAGGACCGAAGGAGGTCGAGGCAAACCATCAGGGAGCAGTCTATTGGAGCCACAAAACACCTGCTGCTCCTTGCATCAAGGGTGTCAATGGATCTAAAATGTAGCTGAAAGTTTGTCGACATTATATCATACAAAGTAGAAACATAGCCTTGCTTGAAAAGAATTATAGGTTAAAACAGTCCAATGAACTGAATAATAAGTGTACTGCATTGAATTAGTAAGTTGAATGGTCTACTTTCTAGAATCATGATATGGGATATCACAATAGATAGGACACAAACTATGTATGAACGTGGGTTTGGCCAGTTATAAGCTATGGCTTGAACTAAAGTAGGGAAAAATGCTCTTTTGGTAAAGATGAGCCAACAAGGGTCATGCACTCACCACTGAGATTTTTCTGAAGCCATTTGAGTTTCTGGGGCTGATATGACTAACACATCACCAAGAGCACTGCCTTGAATCATGACAAACCAAAGCCACCATTGGTTCCTACCTGATAGCAGCAGAGATTACTCCAACCAATATATAACACCTTACTTTTCTCAGCACTGAATAGTTCAGAAATGCAATATCTTGTCCTCAAAATCATGAGTTTTGTTGACTCCCTCACTTTTCTGATGTGGCCATGTGGAATCAACCAAATTAGCACCTGCATAATTATAGACGCAAATTACTTGAATAAGATCAACGAAGCAAGTTATCAGTAACAATGATCAACAGTGCGCAACAACATCATGCCAAGAGTTAGTACAGGCCAGTGGCAAGTCTTGAACTGGCACACGAGGTGGATCGCCCATGTGCATGAAGAGCAGCAAAAGGGAGCGACAACGGTGGTGCCAAGATCCAGCAGGCTGCCCGCATTCTCCCTAGCTCTATCTTCTTTCTCAACCCATCCTGTGCTTTCTCTTAGAACAATAGGAATGCACAATAAAAATGTGGCCAATTCAAGCATTTGTCTGAATTGAACATGTTTCAGGTGCTAAAATTGAATTTCACTTTTCAGAGATTGTAAGGATGCAAGCAAGTGACTAAAAACAAAGCCACCATTAGAACCAAGATTGCTGCTATATGAACGTCACAGAAGCGAGAACAGAGAACATCGTCGCTCTTGCATGCGCCACCTCTTTGCCTCCCCGGTGGCCGCTGAAGCTATTGACTATTGACAATTGCTACAGAAAAAATTGTGTGAATTAGTATTGCTATTTGGCACTGAATGTGAACAATGTTTAGATAAAGCTCTTTGCCTTTTCTAGAAAAGCAATGAATTTTTTTTGAAAATGTGATATCAGTAAGCTCTGTTAGGCATACAGACAAATGACCTTTGATTTCTTATCTATGTAACCTGGCCCTAGATAATTGAAAACCAAGGCTGGGTTGAACAAACAACTAACAACTCGACCACCGTATGTGCTTCCTAGATTATATGTTTAGAGAATTCTTGCATCATTAGAAGGCATCTAAATTAACATCCTGCAATTCATAGAGCTTATTGCCAGGAAACAATTCACGATTCTGCACTAAATCAAACTTCCCTGCTGTGAAGGATGAGAATTGAGCAAGTAACAAGCACATACACTACTATTGTTAATGCGGTCAAATAAAAAATGTATGAACAGATCCGTGTCGATCCATTCAACCATCCTACTTCCAGATTCACACGCCATAGGTGGGCGGCCAGGGACATGAGGCATGGTGCGCAGGGCAGACGAGTACGTACCGGTGAGGAGCGGGGCGTTGGCCTCGGTGAATTAGTAGAAGTGGTGGTAACACAGTTCGTGGCCGAGGCGCCGAGCACGAGCATGGAGATCTGCAACAGAATCCCCACGCCGGACACCTGCTGCTCCTTCCCGGGCAGGGCGAGAGGTGGCGGCTGCGCCAAGCCCGCGTCTTGTCCTCCTCCGACTCTCCGAGAAGTCCGCATCCGTGACGTGGATCTTGTGCCTCAGGTACTTGGATCCCATCACTGTCATGGCACGGGAAGGGGCGGAGCGTGGTGGGGCTGTGGTGGCGTAGCGGGGCTGGGGAGGCGGCGGCGCAACGGCTGCGTGGGGCGGTGGCTGAGGGCGAGGGCAAGGGCGCAGGGGCGAGGTCTACGGCGATGACGAAGTGATGCCGAATTGCCGATCCGCCTCCGTTGCGGATATGCCGCGCGCCGAGGCAGGGCGAGGAGCAGCCGGCGACGACGAGGGCGAGGGCGCAGGGGCGATGGTTCTTTGGAGCGAGACGAGTTGCGGAGCTAGTCGGCCTGCGCGGGAGGCGTCGTTGTGCGCGGGTGCGAGGTGCTGCGGTTCCTTCTTCTGAGGAGACGAGAAGCTGCGGAGGCGTCGGGATTTGTTTGGCACGAAGGGAGCGGGGGCGAGCGGTGATTCGTTTCGCACATCTGTCGACGATTCTCTTATAAATATTTTAGTTGTAGAGAAAAATTGCACGACACATTTAGACATAAATTTTTATGTTTTGTGAATTTTCCATATTTGTCTAGATATTTTCCATTTTCGTAGAGCTAAGTCAAATTTTCATAAGCTCCTAGAGATATTTTCATGAGTTCTAAATATTTTATTTTGGTTTGGCTTATCCCAATCTATCTCTTGATTTTTTCTCGTAAATTTTATAAACTTATAGATTTTTTTATGGTTTAAAAATCGTATCAGCTACTTACAAAACCGCCTTGAAAACCAATAGGAAGGTAATTTAAACCATTGTTGAAGCCTGAAGGGCCAGGTAATAGTTCATGAAGGTAGAAATGAGTTTTTCCTAATTTCGCCCAAAAAAGCCCATGGGTTGATTGTTATGCATAAAGCCCACAATGGAATTTTGGGCCCAAAAGAGGCCACTTCGCAGAACCCAGTCAGCCAGCCCACGCATGAGCTAATATAAGATGGCCATATAAGAAACCCTAGCGGAGCCACCAACACACTCGCCTCCTTCCTCCGCCGCCGCCACGGTCCCCTTGCGGCCGCCTGCGGCTCCGAGCCTCCGCTCGGTAGGTGGCTACCGTCGAAGCCTTCTCCCCTTCGTTCCTGTCTTAGACTAGCTCTTGCGCTCGCCTTATCTCGTGTGGTTGTCGCTAGAACCGTCCCTAATTCCATTCCCGTGATCTGGTTTTGGTCATTTGATGGTTTTATTTGTTGCACCTGTAGATGATTTTGTGTAGTCACTGTCGTGCAGGTAGATAAACATCGGGAGGTGTACGTTCAGTTGAGTTTTGAGTTGTTTGTGTTCGAGATTTTAGCTTTCACTTCCTAGGGACGGATCGAAGCACCGCACTGAGGGTCTGAGGCGCTATAGCTGTTGCAATCGCGTAGTTATCTATTTTTTGTGCGTGCTATATGGATCGGGGAACCCTTTTTGCAGCAGAGATTTGAAGCTGTTGGTTCTTTAGCTGTTTGGGACATCCTTTTGAGTCGAAAGCACAGGCACTAGCTTTTGGCTTTTCATAGTTACCTATTTCATTGATGTGCGACATGCACCATGATAGTACCCTCTGTTCAGGTGTGTACTTCATAGTTACATTGCAGATTGTTTCCTTTCCCCTGGAAGGATCAGGGCACATGTACTGTGGCAATATAGCTGTTTCAATAGCGTAGTTGCCAAACTTTTTGTGTGTGCTATATGAACCAGGGAACCCGCTTTGCAGCAGGGATTTGTTCTGTGTTTCTGCTGCCAGTAGTCACCCGACAGCTAAATTGTTGAGTTCTGAATTCCATTGGCCCTTTAGGTGTTTGTGACACCCTTTCAAATTGAAAGCCCATGCACTCAGTTGCTATGGCCTTGGGCATTGCATAGTTGCCTATTTCACTGATGTGTGAGATGCACTAGGATAGAACCCTTCAGGAACGTACTTTTGGTTGTGTTTCTGCTGCCCATCAAATTGTGTGGCTGTAACCTTACCTGGTTTATGATGCCTTTCAAATCCTGGTATTTGTGTGGCTGAAAACTTATCTTGTTGCTTAATAGTTAATAGATTGTTACTGATTTCTCAGGTTCTGTACTTGCATAGTTGCATTGTCAATTGTACATATCATCAATTCTGATTATATCTTTCTTTGTTTTGTGTAAAATACGTAGTTGTTGGTGAGGGTTTCTTGAAGCTGAGAAGATGGTGCTGAAGTAAGTTTCTACTTTTATTGCAATTGAAATTTGTTAATAGGTCTGGTTAGTCAATGCCTTTTTTCTGCATGACTAGGATATTTTCTGTGATTGATTAATAATGACTGTTGAAATAATGTTTTAGTAAGAGTTACGGATCTTGAAATTATTCTTAGTACAATCATCTCCTTGTAGGACGGAACTTTGCCGCTTCAGCGGTCAGAAGATTTATCCTGGGAAGGGCATCCGATTTATTCGTGCTGATTCTCAGGTTACTAGCTGTTATATTTTTGTAAGAGATTTCTAAGCTTATATAAAATGTTCTTATGGAAAGGGTTTACATCTGTTTCTATAGGTTTTCCTGTTTGCCAACTCGAAATGCAAGCGCTACTTCCACAACCGTCTGAAGCCTGCAAAGCTTACCTGGACAGCAATGTACAGGAAGCAGCACAAGAAGGTAAGTGATATTACCCAGCCAACTTTCTTAAGAATGTCATTCATTTTTTTCTCATATGATTCCATGCTTTTTGGTTATTTATTAGCTACAGCTTTCTTGTACTAGCTAAATATTTCAACCTTCTGGGTTGAGCCGGGATGATATGCTCAAAGTTTGATAGTTGTTGTTGATTTTAATTTTTTTTGAATGAAAGGATTTTAGTGATTGTTCAAGGCTTATTAAACTAGGACCAGGATTCCAATAAACCTTGGCTTTGTACAATTTCTCGCCATTCTGGATTATGATTGATGTGTTAACTTCTGTACTTGTACGCAGCGCTGATATATAACATTAACTAGCTTACCTACCAGTGTTAATGTACAGTTAATGTTAGGTAATATAGTTAGCTGTCTTCTGAATCATGTGATTTTGCATCCTTTGTAGTATTATCCTTAATCATTGTCTTTGTATCAATCTATTTGATGCATGGCATCGGACTAACTTTTGCAACAACAATTATTTCTGCCATGCTCATAATGTTGCTAGAAGTCAAGATCTTCTTACATGTATTTGCCATTTCTGCCTGTAGGATATCCATGCTGAAGCTGTCAAGAAGAGGCGCCGCACCACCAAGAAGCCATACTCCAGGTCAATTGTGGGTGCTTCCCTGGAAGTGATCCAGAAGAAGAGAGCTGAGAAGCCGGAGGTTCGTGATGCTGCTAGGGAAGCCGCTCTTCGGTATGTTTGTCAGCTGTATATAATAAAGCCATCATTTATGCCTATGACAGTGGTAACTGTTTGTTGGTATAAGCAATAAAATCCTCTCAAGTGATATTTAACAGAAATGCAATAGATATAGATGCTCGATGCCTCTCAGACTCATTCGAACTGTCACTGATCTTGCAGCGAGATCAAGGAGCGCATCAAGAAGACCAAGGATGAGAAGAAGGCGAAGAAGGCTGAGGTGACCAAGTCCCAGAAGGCGCAGTCGAAGGGCGCGGTCCAGAAGGGTTCCAAGGGCCCCAAGCTGGGCGGCGGCGGCGGCAAGCGCTGAAAGAACTGAAAATGTCATTTGCTGACCTTTGCAATCGCTCCTCCTTAGCCTACCCCCTGTTGCACCAGAGCTAGTTTTGTAGTACCTGTACCTGGGTTAAATTTGCAGTTCCTTTCAGCGTTTGCTTGTGGGTGTTAAATACCGTGACAAGAGAATGGATTTATCTTTATGTTGGAAAAAATGATGGTCGTTCATATGCTTTCCTTCATCTTGGATGAAGGCTTGATTTGGTTTCTCAGATGTGTTTGGTTTAGGCTGGTATGCCCCATCCAGACCATCCTGGCTCGGTGCCTCGGTGGAACCGAATAATCTGCCAGTAGCAACATCGCCCGACGTACCCAGGCATACGATGGAATCCGTTCTCCGGCAGAAACGGATCTGCCGTGCTTCCTCTTACGATTCACGTGTCGATAACTTTGACTTATTTATAGAAAATACATGCAATATTTCTATCTTCATCTCTAAAATAAATTTATTAAAAAACTAGATTTAAATATCTATTAATGATACTAAATATGTATTATAAATATTAATATTTTTTAATATATATTTAGTTTATTGGGGAAACGAAAACATTTCAGGACGGAGGGGGCTCGTCGACCGTCTTCGATTTCCATCCCGTCGGGCACAGCAGGGCCGTTGCGGCGGCGGAGGGAGTAGGTTGCAGGCTGGTCGACCGTCTTCGATTTCGATCCCGTCGGGCACAGCAGGGCCGTTGCGGCGGGAGGCGGGGAGCGCGCCCTCGCTGAGTAACAGCGGCAGTGTATCACGGACGGAGACGAAGAATTGAAGAAAGGCATCGTCCACCACGGGCCATAGCCATCGGCTGCTAGCACCCGAGAGAGGGAGGGGAGGAATTTGAAGAGAAAACGTCATGAAAGTTTGGTTGGGACCCACAGTCCCACATTGCTCATTCCCTTAAATGCCCTCCTACTGACCCCGGCCGATCAGTTCTTCCCCAGGCCCCAGCTTGCGCGGTCTCTCTGCTCCTCCTTCCCCGGCGACGACTACGCTGCCGCCCTACTCAGGTCTTCTTCGGGCCCTTGGCCGGCGAGGAGCACCACCAGGTACGCCGCCGTATGATCTTCCCTTCCTGCTGTGCGAAACCGATCGATGATTTTTTCCCCAAAAAGAAACCGATCGACGACCCAAACCCTAAGTCCCTAACTTAACTACTATTTGCATTCGCATCTGATCGAGTTACTAGTGTGTAGTGTATATGCATGTATTATTATGGCTACTAATTTCGATTGTTTTGCAACGCCCATGTCGTTCCGCCTCTGGTGAGTAGCGAAATGATTCTTCACTTCACTTGCTTCCAAAAAGAATTCCCTTTTTCCAAAAGAATGACTCGAACATGGGACCACTGTGCATCCGGAATCGAACATGGGATGGGACTGCTGTGCATCCGCAATCGATTGTGTTGTTTAGGGCCGGGACAGCTTAGGGTGGAAATGTTTTTTCCTTACTGCAGTCCAAAAGCATTTCACTTGCATGGACCGTGGACAAAGCAAATTTTGTTGTTCCACATGCATCACATTGTTTGGGTAAACACCATTAGGGGGCACACGATTTACAGGAATACGCCGCCTTCCTCTCTACACCCTGTTTTCCAGCGCAAATGCCCATTTCTTCATTTGTTTCTACAGTACTGTTTCGTTTGTTTCTTCATAAAGTAGGAAGTTGATTGGTCTAAGAAGAGGAAAATGAAACTTCTCCTTGGTGTTGCTGGATCCAACTACAAAGTTCCTACAGTAGTGTTTCATTGGATGTCCAACTGACAGTGTTATAGTGTTATATTTGTATGTTACTATTGCTTAATCAGTGGGTAATGCTGCCTGCTTTTCCATGTGTTCACCTACAGGATTTTCCCCCACTTCTCCAGTTCCAATGGAACATAGCTCTGCAGAAGACTCGGACATTAGTGATTCAGATATCGCTGAGCACAAGGAGGAGATTTGTGCCCAAATCCGAGCCGGAAAACTGAAAGTGAAGCGTGGTGAGGCCTTCCGATGCCCTTTCTGCCCTGGTAAGATGAGGCAGGACTACAACCTGAAGGATCTACTGCAGCATGCCACAGGAATAGGGTCTGCTTCTAAGCGCAGTGCCAAGGTGAGGGCATCGCACCTGGGGCTTGCTATGTTCTTGGAGAAGGATATAGCCAGCTCGTTGGAGAAACCATTGCAAATTGTTCCCTACAAGCCAAAAACTCCAAAGGATGAAGAGATTTTTGTGTGGCCATGGATGGGCGTCGTGGTTAATTTACAGTGTGAGTTGAAAGGCGAAGAAGTTTCCAGGGAAAGTGAAGAAAGGCTAACAGCACAGCTCTCGCGGTTCAGACCCCTCCAAGCCACAATTCTTGGGGATGGGAAGGACCAACCGTTTTGCGCTATCATCAAGTTTGCTAAGGACTGGAGTGGATTTAAGGGTGCAATGGCTTTTGAAAAACATTTCGTACTTGAGCACTACAGTAAGCCTGATTGGAAAGAAAGAAATTGCAGAAAGGACGATCTTTATGGATGGCTTGCAAAAACAGATGATTACAACTCCGCTGGGCCAATTGGGGAGTATCTAAGGAAAAATGGAAATCTTAAAAGTGTTGCTGACCTGGAACGAGAGGGACTGAAAGAAACTGGCGAGCGTGTAGCTCATTATGCTCTCCAAATTGAGGACACAAATACACACATGCTTGAACTGGAGCAGAAGAAGAATGTGAATGCCATGAAACTTGCTAGGATGTTGGAGGAGAACGATCGATTGGTTGAAGAGCACAATGAAAGTATGTACAGATATTTTGGTCTTGCACTCGTTTTTACATCATATATAGCATACTAATTACTAAATGATATTGCTTGTTTTCTTTATGTGGAAATTTGAAACACAAAATCTGAATGGCACTGAAATTGTGGTTGTGTGCTCTGAAATTACTGAGTTTGTTTTGCTCCTTTGATCACCAGGGATACTAAATATGCAGCAAGCTGCTCGTCGAAATTCTTGGAAAATAATTAATGACAATATTAGATTGCATGAAGAACTGGAAACCAAGAAAAAAGAAATTGCCAGGAGACATAAGGAACTCGAAAAGTCGGTTATAAATAGTACTGACAGAGAAAAGCTTGAAGCGACAAAAGAAGAGGTAGGTCCTCGTTATGTTTTCCAATACTGTTTGATGTTCCTGGATCTCTCAACAAGCTTCTCATCTGTTTCTTATTTAGTAGTATATATATATAAATTCTTTTTTGATGTTATTTAATAGTATATATTTGTGCATATGTTTGCTATTAAATGCTCTTACAGATTGCAAAGGAGAACAAGCTTCTTGATTTAGCAACCCTAAAGCAGAAGGAAGAAGATGAGAAGTTCTTAAAACTTGTAAAGGAACAAGAGGTATTGCATTCCCTCTATTTTGTGCATTTACCTGGTGAAAATCCCTTCTAACTGGCCAAAAACTGCAGCAAGAGAAAGAAGAAGTTATGAAGATGCTATATGATTTAGAAATGCAGTTGGCTTCCAAACAAAAACTTGAACTGGAAAGAGAACAACTGAGGGGGAATCTTGAGGTACGGAAGCATATGGGAGAGGAAGATGCAAAATCGAAGGAGATGCTCGATAAGTTGCATGAAGAACTGAAAGAGAGAGATGAAGAAATGGAGAGTATTGATTCTATTAACCAGGCTCTTATTATTAAGCAACGCAGAACCAATGATGAGCTGGAAGAAGCCAAGAAAGAACTGATTACTGTATAAGCTCTATACTAGCGACTCACCTTCTTCAGTTAATTGTTCCTTTTTTTCCTCTGAGAACAATTTACTTGCTATGTAGGACCTAGTTAAAATGTCATCAGTTCGATCCATTCTTGGTGTCAAAAGAATGGGTGAGCTTGACGATAAAGCTTTCCTTGCCTCTTGCAAAGAGAAAACAACAGATGAGGAGGAGTTGGCAACTCTGTGCTCGAAATGGGGAGATGAGATCAGGCAACCAGAATGGCATCCTTTCAAAGTTATTGATGTTGGTGGACAGGCAAAGGTGCTTCATTCCTCACTGCTTGATACCGTCTCATTTTCTCACATTTTCCCCTTTTATGTAGTTTCTTACAGTAGTTAGAAAATGGGTAGCAGCAGCTGGTTCGTACTTGTTTATTTAAAAGGGTCAGAGATGCTTTATAGGATTCTGGATTTTTTTTTAGTGCCAAATCGATACTGATTTCATTGAACCGTATTACTTATGAGCAACAAATTTATGATTATTGAATTGATTTATGTTATCTCAGTAAGTCAGTAATCCATGAAAGCAAGGTGCTTTTTATTTGTTCACTTGTGGGACTGTGAAACAGTTCGTTTCCTGTTTTCCATACCATTGTTTCTTTGCTTGTTTGTGTGTTGCTGCTGCGACTTTGATGTTAGTCGATAAGAAAGCGTCATTTGAGTTTATCACCTCAACAAGTCAACATTGTGGCTTGTGGGAATACATGTACTAGAAACACTTTTTTAGGGTAATCATTGTGGAAGTCCTTTGCTTGCAATGTTCTTTGGACATCAAATATGTTATCTACTTTAGATATTATAGCATTTCAGTGACAGTAAATTGGCAGAATGCTCTTTTGTACTGAATGAATTGCAAATACCATTGATCTTTGTAGGATTTAAAGAACATTTTCAGATTTCCAATTCAGGAAGAAAACCCATTTGAAAACAAAGATACAAAAAGCTTGAAATAGTTTTACTGGAGTTGCACTTCCTTGAGAATATTATCCATCTGTTCTTGATTTAATTTAACTGAGTTGTATCCAAAATAGGTTAACTTTCAATTTTACCATGCGTGCATTGAGTCACTTAGATTGCCTAGTAGCCAAGTCATTGTTTTTAGCATTTTCTTTGTGCTCTCGCCATCCAACTTGTCAACATTAGTACTTCCTACAATTAGCACTACAGTATTTTTCTTTTTCCAAAGAACGTGGTGTGAACCACTTCTGTTTGACACTTGCACTGAAATTCAATACAAGTTCTGCAGGAAATAGAAAAATAATAATTTGTCGCAACAAAATCCCTTCAGAAGCTGAAGTTGACTTCAACTTGAAATGGTTAACCTGTGTTGAAGCATGTCTAAACAACATTCATTCGATGGTGTAGGAAATAATTAGGGAGGATGATGAGAAGCTGCAAGCTTTGAAGGCTGAACTGGGTGTGAAGGCACACGATGTGGTCGTCGAGGCCCTCCTTGAGATGAACGAGTATAATCCAAGCGGCAGGTACCCCATACCAGAGCTGTGGAATTTCAGGGAGGACCGGAGAGCACCAATGGGTGAGGCAGTAGCCTACATAGTGAAGCGGTGGAAGGCGAACAAGGGGAAGCACACCTACTACGCCTGATGGCCCTTGGCTTGCTGGACCGCGTTGTGCGTGCCACTGGTTCCGGCGTCGGTCGAGCTGAGACCCTGACTTCTACTGATGAAACCTAGTTATCAGTACTACTAAATTTGTCCGATCTCTTGGACGGTTAGATTTGCTATGCAATGGTCTGTGGCACCTAGTACAAAGATCTATATGGATAATTTCATCATAACTAGACAAATATTATAGAACATTTTTATACATGTTGGAAAATGACTAATACTGATGAAACCTACTAGTTTTTTTTGGGAAACCGGGTTTATATTTCACATAAATCTCTTAAAGTTTACATTCCAGTTCTTACAAAGACATCCTTCAAAAAAAAGAAAACTTACAGCTTAGTCCTTGTAAGATCCTCTTCGCCGCCGGCGGTCGGAGCAGCCACTCGACGAGCTCCCGTCACACCAAAGGTCGTAGAGGACACACACCGAGCGTGCAGCTTGAAGCCTTGAAGCCGAACTCCTTCCAAGAAACATCGCAATTTTTCATTGCCACCAAGAGTAGCACATCGATATCCTTTCTAGACGCTGAACGCCCTGGCTGAACAAGATAGCCACCGGCCATCACATCACCGGGAGACCAGGAATCTGACGTCTCAAGAATCGCCAGCGACCCCAGCTCACCGGACGACGACTCAACCCGAAGGAGGAATAAACCACCAGAACAGGTGGGAACCAAAAGCCAACCCGATTTCTCGGAGCGTTGGTAGACATACCTCCCAAGAAAACGTCGGAAAGGCCAGCGTCACCAGTGCCAATCTCGAAGGAGACGAGGGAGGAAGAAGAAGACCCGACAAGTTCTGAAGCAGCCAGAAGGTCTCCAGATCCGGCAAGCTTATGCCTCAGCAGCCCTTCGCTGGCACCAGAATACTCACCAGCCAGGTGGAGAAGAGGCCGGCGAAGCTTATTCCCTAACGGCGTCATGACCTCCACCAACAGCACGCCGTCTGAACCTAAACTACCTAAGCTAGGTAGGACTATATACAACAGCCACCTGAATCCCCGTTCCCCATCCTCACCGGTGCCGAATCGGCCGCCGGATTGGAGGGAGAACGGAGGAAATCGGCGCTGGAACTGCGTCGCCTCTCTTTCGCCTTCTCTCAACTGTAGCGGTGGAGAGGTTCGGGAAGGGTCTGGACAAGGAGACGGAGACGAGAGCCCGAGACGCTCGATGAAACCTACTAGTAGTAGTAGTACCATTAACGGATTTACGGCTTCCGGCGTCTCTCTACAACATGCCTCTTTCGAGCTCGACGATATCTCACCCGAGGCCCAAAGCGTTGAGCTTCTGAAGCGGGGAATCCAAAAATAGGCCCAAAATAACATTTTCCCCAACAAGGCCCAAACTGGAGAACCCAGCCCGGCCTGCTGCTGGCGTCATCACTCACCACCCAGGCATTCCCTTCCCCCACCGCAACGCCAGCCGCACGGGAGAATCCGGAGCCGCCGCCCTGCCTTCCGCTGACGCAGCCCGCAGTTTCCGATCACCTGACCTCCACGGTTCCTTCGTCGTCGCTCCCTGTCGACCTAGCGAAGGAGCGCAACATGCAGACGGTACAAAGTGTGGTGCTGCAGCACCTCCGCCTCCGCGTGGCGCCTGCCATTGCTGCACGTGGAGGCAGCGGGAGGCCGTCGCTGTACGGGTTCGCTCGGGGGATGAGCGCGCCGGCGGGCCAGGAGGACAGTAAGGGAAGCAGCAACTCCGACCCCGAGAGGGACATCAGGACGCGCGTCGTCAACCTGGTGAAGAAGTTCGATAAGATCGACGCCGACAAGGTGGGTTCTCGCCTCTGCCATCTATTTCCTCTTGCATTCTTCTTTCTTTGTTCGTGAGAGCCTGTGCTCTTGGTTGTTCCAATGGAAATGGTTGGATTTTACCAGCTCAGTGTCAAACTCTCACGAACTTGGATGAATCCTGTCGATAATGGATGGTGCCCAGGGGCGTTCTCATTTGGAGATGATAATGCTTGTGCCTTTTATCTCTTGGATGTTGCTATTTTTCTGCTTAGATAGGCTGTTATATGTGAGCAGGGAATGCCAGTGAAGGTCTGAAGGATGTAATGCCACGCAGTGCCGGTCCTACGATTATGAGGGCCCTACGGCGATCTCATTGTAACGGCCCCTCTTGACCATGTATAAAATCTTATAATATATAGGCGCTAATTTTACTTGCAAAACGAAAGCAAATTCAATAACATGTTTTTAATTTAACATGTCTGATAATTATCGAGGAATAATGTAGATTAAGCAATATATTTGTAGATGTATGATAATTATCGAGGAACGATGTAGATTAAAAAAGCAATATATTCATTTTCTTTTCTCACCCATGGCAAATGTTTCTTAGGAAACATTCTAAAATTCTAACACATAAATTAGATAAAAAAATATGACTATATGGGTACAAAGTACTAGGAGTCTGAAATACTATACAAATAATTAATTTGGATTAAAAATAAAAAGGAAAAAAATACCTTGGGCCTAAACAACTGATCAGTGATCGCAATTCATAATAAGCCAAGAATCAAGATGTCATCGTCGTGGAGCCCTACCTGGTCGCCGTCCTCGTGCGTCGTGTCCGTGTCTCTGGTAGTATAGCTCTTCGCGGCAGCGCGGCTCGCTAGCTCTGCGTGTGTAAGGCGCACGTCGCGAACTCACGATCAGAGTGTGCTGTGTGCAGCGTGACTCCTCGCGTCCTCTCTACCCGAGGGCCGCGGGGAAAGGAAACTAGGAAAGAAATGCCGATGTTGTCTTTTTGGGCCGCCTGATCAGTTCTATGTCTCTCTTCTCACTAGTTTGTTAATGGCTAATGGACTATAGGACGTGAGGATTTGTATACCTAGGCTTGGGCCCCTCCTCCGCTTGGGCCCTCGGCCGTCGCACCTGGTGGCCTACCCCTAGGGCCGGCACTGATGCCACGGTAGGGCTGAGGCCGTTAGAATGTCAGCCGAAATGGACTCATAGCTAACAACATATCAGACAATCTGGAATAAGAAGTCCGAAACTAATGTTCATAACGATATTCCAACATCCTTTTCAGTTCTTGGAAGATATCTCTGACATCCTCACGAAGATATGCTTGTTCTAGTAGGAAACGTTTATATCATCAATTATATACATGCCTCCTTTTGCAATAGTAACCTGATCCATAAAACAAACCATAACAGGCAGGGTGCAATTCAAGAAATTGTCTCTTTAGTGAATTTGTTATGTAAAGATTTCGTTTCAATGGGACCATGAAACGAATTTTTTTAGGACCAAATAATGTGTACAGCAATTTTATATTGATGGAAACCATGCATTGGTCAACTTCTGTTTCACCGATGCCTTGGCACAACTGTTTTCCAAGAATTTGAGACTGTCAGAATCACTGCTTAAATGATTAGGGTCACCAGTAGTATCTATTAATGCATATTCTAGTCCACATTGATCAGGGCCGGCCCTGACATTAAAGCCAATGGGCCCTCAAGTATGTTGTTATATAGATAATTAGTAGCTGGCGAAGACTAAACTAGGCCACACGTCCAAGACAGAGACAGAATTCATGCAAATTAGAATCTGATCAGTTCACACAGAATTGATAAGCGTACGCCGCTCACAATTTTTCTAAATTAATTTTGAATACAAAATCCGCTCTATCCATCAGGTTACAGTATTATTATTAGTATGTGATGTGAAGACTGATCGTGTAAATGTCGAACTAGTAGTTACTAGTATTATTATTATTCAAGTTTTCACGACTGAAAGAACCTTTTTAAAATTAAAATTGTTAAAAATCGTTGAGATCTACAATATTTCTCTGTTTTAAGAGAGGTTAAATAGTTTGGGGAAGGAATTTTTAGATGAGATCAATATTGATGTCATCGTTAGCGACTTTGCAACAAACGTTAGAAGGTAATTTTAAGGCAATTTAATGTGTACCGTTTTATGTTTTTAGTATTTTGATATCATAGGGCCCCGAGTGTTTAGTCTGGCTCCAGGTCACGAAATCCTCAGGACCGGCACTGACATTGATATGTTGTGCTGTAGCAAATCCAGCGAAATAACTCCTTTTAGCTTAATAACGATGGTTGAAAGGGTAGTTTCATATATGACATATTTTTTATTCAATTTTCACCATACCTTGGTACCTGATAGACGATAGCTGTCCCCTTAAATATTTATCTCCCTCTGTAAGGAAAAGGAAACTACCTCCTTGAGAAGGAATCTTCCTTTCCATGACATGTCCACACCTTGGGTTACCTCCTCTTTAGGGATGTTATCTCTGTAGGCTACTGATCTGATGTACTTCAATATTGTGTAAAGGATGTGCAGAGAAATTTTGAGTTACATTGTTCAATGTGTGAACTGATATCCAGGCCATTTACTAGATTCTGTTCTAATGGAGATGGAAGTGTAAGGAGCACACAATTGGATTGTGTCCTTTTGTCGCATATTACTTCCATCATGTCATGTTTGGGTAATCTTTCTGTAATTGCCTGACCACTAAAACAAGATGTAAAGTTCTGAAAGCTAGTATTGACATACACATTTTCTTGTAGTAAAGCTGCTTATTTTTCAATGTTAAAAAGAGTATCTGTCGGTGATATGGCTAATTGGTTTGGTTGATAGGCTAATTGGCGATGGCGTACTCTTCCTCACAAGGAGACTCTTAGTAACCCTGTAGTGGATTGGGCTTAACTCTGCTCTGATTAAAAATGACTCTGCTGGGGCTTTATAAGTAGATGTGGCTACTTCCTGACCAACAAATCTGCTATTTTTTCTCTAACCCCTCAAAGCTAGGAACTAACTGAAACAAACTCTGAACAAGACAAAAACAAACTAGAACCAACTTGAAACAAACTCTTAGTCACTTGCGGATGATGGTTGTTTCTTGCATCACATGTGGGTTATGTCGGTGAAAGGGTCCACAGCTGTGGGATTATGTTTTGTATAGAGTATATTTGAGATTCTTAACTTGAGAAATTAACTGATGATGACTGATCCTTCTTCGGCAAGGTCATTAGTAGGAGCTCAGCCTGTTTAACCCCAATACCTAAATTGAGAAGGGAGCAATAACTCAACTCTGAGCTAATGGAGTTGGATCTCTTCACACATTTATGTTGATGAGAGATTGTGTAGGAACAAGAGTACATGAGGGCAGTGATGACAGGTAAGAGGAGGGGTATAGTAGTGCAATGACCAACAAGGCAACTGTGATGGAGCCTGTTGGAATTTAAGCTTAATGGAATGGATATTTTTACTGACAAGTATTTATGTCAAAGTATTGTCTTACATAGCCACCAACTCATGAAATGGATATTTTTACTGAAAAGTGGGGAAAATATAATGTTTCTGCAGTGTGGGCAGAATTTGTTAATAGTTGATGATTTCTAAATATTTTTATATATGAATTGGACATTCTGGTGCAATAAAATCAAATGGCATCATTTCTGCCTTATTCAAATACAACGCTTTGCATTTTGAGGCTAGTTGCTGCCAATTGGAAAAAAATAGTAAGGCATTCAGCAGAAGGGCTAGAATCAAAGAGATGAAAAATTGCTGATACAATTACTCCCTCCGTTCCAAATTATAAGTCATTTTGACTTTTTTGGTACATCCAATTTGCTACGTATCTAGATATACATTATATCCAGATACGTAGCAAATTGGATGTACCAAAAAAGTCAAAGTGACTTATAATTTGGAATGGAGGGAGTATATCACCGTTATTTTGAGTTAATAAAATTAGAAGGAAAAAGTTATACAGAACAAACCTTGCTTAAAATTTTCCTTGAACACTGTTTACAATCTTAAAGTTAATGTTGCAAGGAAAAAAGTAAGATGCTAAATTAAGTACACAACAGTGACCTAATAATGCATTGGGACCCAGCATTTTTATGAAACGATTGGCATTGATTGAAGTGCATCACAGCTGAGGGAGTCATGGGAGGCTGAGAAGTGAATGCATTGTAATTGCTGCGATGCATCATAGCAGTAGCTTAATTGTTTTTATGTTACTGGTTCCAACATGAAAAAAAAACTAGTGGATTTGGAGTAACATTTTAATGAGTATGCTATTTGCTAGTGCTGCAAACCTATGGATCCTAATTCCTCTTTATATGAGTGCAAATTACCCATAACATGTAATTAATATAGCCCAATTCTAGTGGTTGCTTATTGAGTAGCTTTATAAATTGTACATCAAGCGGTTTGCATCTGAGCTTTGGCTCATGTTTACCAGCTAAATGCTTGCAGGTGACTGAGACTGCAGACTTCCTGAAGGACCTCAGCTTGGACAGCTTAGACTGGGTGGAACTTGTTATGGCTTTTGAACAAGAGTTCTCCATTGAGATTTCTGATGACAAGGCTGACAAGCTAACCTGCTGTGCGGATGTTGCAAAATACATCATATCGGAATCTCAAATCAGTGATAAAAATACCAGTGGCTCCTGAGGTGCAGATGAAAGCGAGTGCAATGTTTCTTTTTGTGCTTAATGAGTCTTGTTTACAAAGGATGATTTATGCAAAGGGTTTCCTTTTAGTTTTTTCAAGTATGGAAGGAAATGCTCTTCCAATGCCTTATATAGTCTGTCTGTTAATGTGAAAATATCTCTACCTTGGTAGTTTGTTACAAGGGAAGGTTTTTATGTCGATCATGGTTGATGTTCATGACTTCTTACAATACTGAATTCTATCAGCATAGCCAATGTTATGCATTTTCTTTAAACTGATCTTTTTTTTTAAAAAAAAAAGGTCTCCTGCAATGGATATTTTGGTTCTTTTAACCGCTGCTGTGCAGAATATTTCCGACTTGTGATATCAACTAACAGCCACCAAATGGTTGGCACGCGACGTGGCGCCATATGACTGGACCACGTCACTGCAACTTGTGACCCTTGGCTCATGCTATGGAAGAGAACGAGCCAGGGTAGCACTCGCCTTATCCACCCCTCTTGTTTGTTCCTGAGCACCGTCACATGTACTAGTACCATATACTAGTACCATATCATGTGATGTGCATGAGGCAGGGGAGTGCTTTGCTCCTCCACACCAGCCCAGCCATGGCCAAGGTAGCTCCTCCTCTCCTCGCCGCCCGGAGCTGCACGGCCATCACAGCCCAGCCATCGTCGAGGAAAGGTACTGCCGGTTTGTTCCGCAGCCGCATCGTCAGCAAGCGTACCAGGATAACAGCAAAGCTTGGTATGATAACCACAATCTTCTCCAGTTCTGTTTCTTCAGTTCGTTGGGGCTCTTTGAAACAAGATTGGTGAAAACTGATCCACGCAGGAGGAGATGGCGAGCTGAAGCCTCCAGGCAAGAAGAAGTTCATCACCAGGGAAGAGGAGCCAGAACAGTAAGCAGTGAACCTCGCCTCACCATCTCCTCATAGCAGCCTGTGACTTCGATCCACTTCGCGTGGGATGATGGAATGCAGGTACTGGCAGACCGCAGGGGAGAGGGAGGGCGAGAACCCCATGATGACACCCCTGCCCTACATCATCATCTTTGGCATGTCCACCCCCTTCGTCATCCTCGCCATCGCCTTCGCCAATGGCTGGATCAAGGTCCCTGTGCGATGAGCTCTTACCAATGACCATGACGCGGCTGCGTGATCAACCATGGATGTTGATTGCCCTACATCTTATCCAGCGAAGTCCTGCGAGTTTGTACCTTCATATATAGAGACAAGAGTTCTTGTTTGTGTAAGCATAATTGCATGATCATATGGTGTATGTTAGTATGTAACCCAAAACTTTCGGAGCTCCCAAGTATTTACCTTTTTGCAATATAACTTCAGTCTTCAGGCATTCTTCCGATTCAGTGTCCTGTATCAATCTTTAGTTATTCGCTTGCACAAGAGAAGATTTGTACCATCAGCATTTTTGTGTGTGAAAAAGTCATATATATTAAAGCACCAAAACCAGAGTACAGATATTAGGGATAAGAATCCCCAAAGTACATGGGATCAGCCACCAAGGAGCTGATAAATCCTCAACTGCTCTTAAGGAGAGTATCCATAGAATAGAGCATGACATTATGGATTTGAGTAAGATCATTGATGTCAAATCCTGCAAAAGTGTCAGAAAAGTCTCTAATATGTCCCACTGGAAACACAACGAACACTATCGTCGGGCAATGGAGACAAAGACCTTCAAAAGCCTCCTTTGAGCACTGCTGCGTTGGGGGTGGAAAGATGGGTCGAGGATATGTTGTAAGCTTCATCAAACCCAAACCTTTGCAGAGATAAGAATCCGAAGCTAGCATCAAGGTTCTAAGATGTGTTCAGTTGGTGTAGAATCATCACGAAAAAAAGGGTCCTGCGATAAAAATGGGTTAATGTGCAGCCAATGCTGTCAATGAATCGATCAATCTGCAGCTGGTGTAACAGAAGGTTCAGATGGTAACATGGCATGAGCGCAAAGATGAAAAGCACATTCAAGTGTGGTTTTGTGAATCTATTGAAAATATTAGGAACAGATTTCCGCGTGTGCTCGGCGTCACATGTCACATATATTACATATTAGTTATGCAACAGCAGCTTGTTTCCATATTTTTTTCATTGCAAATCACAAATGCAACAACACACGCACAATTGGAATAATAAAGGGTATTTAAGCGACATGGAGGACAGCAGAGCTCGGATAAATTACATCACAGGAAACCCTTTTGTATCTATTAGTATCTATTATTGGCGAATAACACCCGCACCAGTATTACAGTGTATCAATCTTTAGGTAAACGACGCATCATTTTCCAGTCACCTAGTTGGTTTTCTGTCAAATTCTGATTCGTGGCAGTGCAGGTCGAGCCAATCACGAGGAGAGCTCTTTGGCATGCTGGCACCACCTCTAGCACCCATGAGCTCCCTTAGGCTCTCCACCTTGTTCTCCTGAGCATTGCCAGTGAATTTCCTATCTGCTTCCTTCAGCTTGTTCCGGAAACGCTGCTTACGGCCAACAGTATTCAGCTCCTGCTGCTTAGCTTGAGATGGTGGAGCTCCATGAGGTCCCAAGTATATTTTCTCATCCTTTGCCTGCTCAAGTATGAATGTACATCTTCATGAAGCAATGAACACCAATGAACCAGTGGTTCATAAAGGCCAAACATTGTTTTTTTTAACAAAAAGGGGGCATACACCAGACAAGTATCTTATGAGAAAGAGTTCAGAAAAGCATTCCAATATGTACCTGTAAAGGTTCAGGATCTTTTTCTTTGGGGACACTAGGCTCAGTCACATCATTATCTTGAGTGGGCAAATTAGGAATAACATATCCATCAGCATCTGTGATTGCACCATCAACATTAGAAAAATGTGTAAAATAGCAGCAGTGCAGAACACATGGAGCTCAGCATGGTACGCAATTCATAGAACATGTAAGTCTGACAGAGAAATATGTCAACAATCTAAGACTGCATACATTGTAGTTAATGTCGCAATCAACAACCCCAAGTCATATGTGGATAGATTTATACTGTTCCCTTCCACTCAACGAGGTTCAACCCCAAGTCATATGTGGATAGATTTATACTGTTCCCTTCAACTCAACGAGGTTTACAGTTTACCTGAGCTGGCTGATGACCTCATGTCATATATCTCCGATTTTATATGAAATGGAAATGCATCTTAATGCTTATATTTTGTTGCATCAGCTAATAACCCTTGGTTTTTTTATTTGTCTGGAGCTACCCCATTTCATCAAATGAAGGCATACGTTCTACTAAAATGTTCATGTTATCTTGACTGACTCGACCAAGCACGAAAATTAAGGGTGACGATAAATTTCACAATTTCGTTTCTTATAAAGCTGGCAAATGTTCTTGCAGTTTATGAAACCCTTGGTAACTGGTAAGTAGGTCACTACCATGTTGCTCTTCCACCTGAAAATGGTCACGGTTCCTTCAGCATACACGCTAGAACGGCCCCTGGTCGGATTCTACGCCCCAGTGAGGCAGTGACCCAAACTTCTTTCCTGCCTACTATCATCTGAAGCTCTAAACTTGTTCCCCAGAAAACGAGCATGCTTTGCACGCAGTTTCAAGCAATTCCTGAATGAACAATAACAAAATCACAAGCACCAGTAGGAGCCTAGGAGGCCAGCGAACCACCTACACCATCCGTTCCTCAAAACCTCTCTGCTCATGTTATGCCTAAATTAAACCACCCGTACCAGAAGCTAGTAAATTAAACCACCCGCACCAGAAGCTAGTATCCGTCGGTAAGACGGTAAGCAAGCACGGCAAGAAACGAGGGCGCCTCACGGTTACTCACCCCACTCGTCTTCCTCGGCGGCGGCCGCGGCCTCAAGCGGTGGGGCCGCCTCCACCGGCGAGGGGGAAGGGGCGGCCATGGTGGTCCGCGAGGCCACGAGCCGGAGCTGGAGCCGCCTCGACTCGACGGAGATGGACCCCTCTCGCCCTGGGCCCCCTTTGGATTTCTCGTGTGGTCCCTCTCTCGCGCTGGAAGCCTGGGATCGATTCCGTCTTGTTTTTTTTTCGAGGTAAATCGATTCCGTCTTGCTGGTAGGAGTAGATTCCCAAGGCCGAAACCGCGGAAACAGAGAGTTTTTGTGTGGGCTTCTGGGCCTACTCAGAGCAGCCCTCCAGAGATGAGATGGGATGTCCTGCGGGAAAGAGGGCCCATCAATCAGTTTTTTTCGTTCTATATTGTTTTCCTATTTCCGTATCTTCTCCTTTTTCTTGTTCCACTTCCACACGGATAAACCACCGTGTGTTATTATCTTCTATTAGCTCTGAAAAAATTATAGAAACTTGGAGCAGCATTTAATTAAACTAAATAAACATTTTTGTGCAAATAAATGTCCAACATTTTATGTCTGATTTGTCGAGATAGCATATTGGAATTATTGATGTACTATTTTTATTTTTTTAGATTTCTCATATAATGTTAGTGGTATGGCCTAGTCCTACCCCACTCTTGTAGAAAGGTCCAAGTTGTAAGGGCTATATGTAATTTATAAACTATATAAGAGCAACTTCACTGGATTAAGAAAACTCAATCCCCTCTAAACCAGGTTAAAAGGGATTGAGTTCAGACCCAAGGTTATAGGGGAGATGTGCTCCAAGAGAAATCCTAATCCCTTTTATATGTGAGGTACACCTATCAATTGGGAAAATATCTTTCTTCTCTCCATATGTCTTCTTGCTCATCCATGGTTGTCCACTTCTCCGCGTACTTGGCCACTCGAAACAACGGTGTGGTGGCTCAGTCGCATGGAGGAGCAGCGCAGCATCCCGCTTGGACACTTCCTCGCACGCTCGAAGTGATGGCACAGTAGCTTGGCCTCCCAGGCTCCCAGGGGAGCAGCACAATGTCCCTCTTGGTCACTTTCCTGCACGCTCGGAGCGATGACACGGCAGCTCGATCAGCCACTTGGAGGAGCGTCGTGACATACCACATGGCTGCCTGGAAGAGCGGCGCGGCGTCCCTCTGAATCGCTTTCCTGCGGACTTGGAATGATCAGCGATGGCACGGTGGCTCAGCCTCCTAGAGGAGGGTCGTGGCGTCCTAGAAGGACGCCTAGAAGAACGACGTGGCGTTCGTCTCGCCATTGCGATCGGTAGCCCGTCCGCTCGCAAGCTGAAAGGATGTAATGGCTAGAGGAGGGTGAATAGCTTATAAAAATTTCTAGCAAAGACACTAGAGAAAAGATTAGACAATAAGACGACGCTTTATGCAAATTGCTCTAGCTCTAAGTCACTACAAGCAAGCCTCCTACTCAAGCTAGTTGCTAAGATCACTAAGGTTGAAATCACTCAAGCAAACAACCTAGCAACTAAACTAGAGAGCTACCACAACTAGAGCTACTAAACAAGCTAAAAGAACAACTAGCTCTAATTATAACTAAGCTACACAAGCAAGCAAACAAGCCCTACACAAGTATGCTATGGAATGCAAGAACAAGTGTAACAGGGCAAACTGCACTGGGCAAGAGACAATTGACAATCAATTGAACACTGAGATTTATCCCCGTGGTTCGGTTGCTTGCCAGCAACCAACGTCCACGTTATGGCGAGTCCAAACTAGGTGGCTCACGCGCTAATAAGCATCAAACACCTAGCCCAACACTTGGGCGCCATAAGAACCACACTAGAGAGCACTACCCAAGCCATGATTCCACTAGAGTTGCCTTTTGCGAATCTCCTGTAGGGAATAGACACAAGAACCCCTCATAATCAATTATCAGAACCGAAAACAATCACCACCTTTCGCCAAGAGTAACAAGAAATCCTGCAGTGAACTCGATCACAAGTGCCACTAGATGCCTCAACTCAATGCAGATGCTCTTTGGATCACTCCCAATCTCACACAGATGATAAACAAATGAAGGAGATGAATGGGAGAGGTTTAGCTCTACTCAATAGGGTGTATCTGAAAGCCCTAGTTTGGTTCACTGCCTTCTCCTCGACCACGACGAGCTTCCTCAGTGAGCGCCTGGCGGTAGCGATGGCTTTGCCGGCGCGGTTGATGTCAGTGCAGCGTAGGATCCAGTGGCTCCCCCACGTCTTGAGCTAGAGATCTAGATTAAAATGTTTCCGGCGACGGCGTGGCCTTGTGGCGACGGCACCGGTCGACACGGTTGCGGCGGCGTAGGGATGTCGCACATGGCCGCGTTGGAGTCGTGCGGCGACGTAGGGACAGCTCGTGGTTTTTCGCGAGGCTTAGAGCGAGGGCATAGTGAGGATTTCCGCGAGAACGAGGGATCGATCGATTGTACGGATCGTTGGGATCGTGAAGGAGATCGCCGTCTTTCTAGGAAACGGTCATGCGGTGGAGCCCGGGACGCCGGGTGCGTGATTGATGGAATGACAGCGCGTGGGGGTGCGAGGGAATGACACGGAGACGGTTGCTGTGGGAATGTGGCCTCCTGCCAGCCCAGCAGGCTGCAGCACGTCGGCGCGTGAACAGTAGGCGGTAGACACTCTTTGCAAGGCCCAAGGGCCTCCTCAGCAGAGGTTAAATTGGCACCATGCGAATTGGCTCAACAACCATGTACAGTAACAATACGTCTGTCAGCTTGTGTCATGGTGGTACCCAGCCCTTGGACGGTTGCGGCCACTCACATTACCCTTCTCGCCGTGTCCAAGAATCAAAGAACCTAGACCCGTTTTAATTAATTACATCAAATTAGGACATGGCAAAGTACACAGTGTCATATGGAGAACAGATGAAATGTATGATTTATTTATACCCATTTTTCAATCTGCAGCTTATACGTCAGTTTGATTTTTAACCATAAACTATGAAATCAGTTCAGATGCCTTCCAACTATCGAAACCAAACAAATTTATTTTTTTTGTTTTATATTGTTTTCTTTAATTTGTCTTTTATTTATTTTTATTTTTATATTAATGTCGGTACAGAAAGTGACCAACACGTAAATATTTATAGTTTTGCCATATGTTGTGATCGGAGGTGGCCTAGCACTCAATGACACATGGTTTATACTGGTTCAGGCAACGTGCCCTACGTCCAGTTTGAGTTGGTCGGTGACTTTCTTCCTGAGCCCAGGTGCTCGAAGTTTACAGTGGGGTTACAAACGAGAAGGAGAAAGATGGGGGTACAAGAGATCCGATCGAACTCCGGTCAGAAGGGCCGAGAGTGACGGAAGCCCCGCTATGAGCTAAGTGTTCGGCGTGTGCTTGTGATTTCAATCTGGCAGTTCTGTTGTTGTGAACTAGTGAACTTGATCGATCGAATGAATCTATCTGTTGGAAGAGAGCGCATCCCCTTTTATAGATGAAGGGGGTGGCCTTATAAGTCAGAGAGAGAGTACGTATGCTACTAAGCCTTATTGCCCATGCCGGCGGGTACAGGATGATGGTAGGCGCCTACAATACTGTTGAATGTCAGATGCACGTGGGATGTTGTGTTGTCTTCTTCGGGTATGGCAGACGTCGGCGCCTGCCACACTGTTGATACCTGAAGGCATGCAAGGGGTTTTACCATGTTCGCCTGGTACAGTAAATGCCGGTGCCCACAACATTGTCGATGCCAGAGGCATGTGGGGGAGAGCCTTACCGTATGGGAGTTAATGGCGCCCACAATACTATAGGGGAAAATGTCGGCGCCTACAACACTGCTTGGAGTTCTGTCGTGCCAGGGAGGTCGCAGAGTACTGTTTCTGTAGGTGTACAGGGTACGATCCCTGGTATTGCGGTTTGACTTATGCGCCCTGCCTTACTTTCTCCGTCCGTTTCCTGATCTTTACTGAGCGGACGTCCCGGGTCGGTTGGTCCCAATCGGCTCTTATCGCACCAGTCGGAGAAGAGCAGTGAGCAGGGGTTTGGCGCATCCCCGGTTGAAGACGCGGGTCGAAGTCAGAAGTGGTGTTTGGCCAGGCCATCCGGTCGGAGAGGCCGTCCGGAGGCGGGCTGGAGACCGAAGTAAGCGCTCCGATCAGAGAGACGGGCTGGAGTCAGAAGCGGGTACCATTCCTCCGAGGCCAGGCCTTTCGGTCGAAGATTGAATCGCCCCTTTGGCTTGTCATTTAGGTACTTGGGTCGGCCCATGAATTACGCGTTTGTCTGCTTGGGCCGAGCTTTTGTTGGGAAGCCGGTCGGCGAGGGACCTCGGGTTTATGAACCCGACAGGAGCCCCCGAGCCCTCGGGCGATTCGGGTAGAATCGTTTGGGGGATTTTTGTCTTGACGGCGGGTGCGCGCAAACGCACCCGCGGGTGTAGCCCCCGAGCCCCCGGACGATTTGGACAGAATCGTCTGGGGGGTTTTTTGTGTTGCCAACGGGGGAAGTTTTTTGTTTCATCAGCGGGTGCACGTGAGCGCACCCATGGGTGTAGCCCCCGAGCCCTCGGGAGATTCGGGTAGAATCGTCTGGGGGTTTTTTGTCAGCGGGCGTGTGTGCGTGTTTTTTAGTCGAGACGAAGTCATCAACCAAGGCGTCGGTGCGCGTCGTGGGATCGGGTGAGTTGGAGTCGTGGATCCTGGCGTCGGTGCGCGCCGTGGGATCGAGCGAGTTGGAGTCATGGATCCTGGCGTCGGTGCGCACCGTGGGATCAAGGTAGTTAGTTTAGGGATGGGGCCAGACGGAGCTTGCGGATCCTGATGGGGTAAGTTCGGGGTCGCAGACCCAGGCATTTTGGTGTGCAGTCGAGGCGTAGCCGAGGGATAGGGCGAGTTCGGGGTCGTAGACCCAGGCATTTGGTGTGCAGTGGAAGCGTAGCCGAGGGATGGGACGAGTTCGGGGTCGTAGACCCAGGCGTTTGGTGTGCAGTCGAAGCATAGCCGAGGGATGGGGTGAGTTCAGGGTCATAGACCCAGGCGTTTAGTGTCTTAAGCCCCCGAGCCCTGTTGGGCCTTGGTAGGGGTCG